CCCAACCCCCCACACCCCCCCCCCCCGGGCCTTCTGTGAAGACACGAAAAGCCCTCTTGAGAATCCCATTGTCACGACTTTGAAGAAGAATTTAGGACTTTGGATATTAGCCCTCATTTGCAGCCCAAAGAGTGGGGGATTGGGGGTGGGGGGCTGGCGCATATATTCAAATTGAATTCTGTTGTTTCATCGAGATGTGACGTTTCCATGTATTTTTTAGATTTAGAGAGCAAAGGCAGGCGCTTGACAAATGTCAGAGTAAGCCGTGTGGAAAGGGACTTTTCAGACATTAATGTATGACACAAATAATTTACTGGAAAGCTTTGTCGTAGATATCAACTAGTAGGAGAAGAATAGAACTGTTTGTTTTATTTGATCTCCGCCGGAACCTCAAGATTTGTATGAGCAATAATGTTTTATTTGTTCCGTCTCACTCGTGGCTTTTCATGGCATATGGGAAATTTAAAAGAAAGATAAATCAAATACCCCTTTTTTTTTTGATCAAGGAAATGTGTTCAATCCATCTGGTGTGTGATGCAATGCGTAGCATGACCGAGGACGTGTTGGACGCAGTGTCTCAGATCACACCATTTGCATTGTCGTCTCCTTTCAGGAACTCCAAAAAGGAACTGAACGACATCCGTTTTGAATTCACTCCCGGGCGAGGTATGAGTGGAGAATGGATGCGTACGAAGTGCGCGTATATGTGAACTGAAAATGAATGTGCAGCAAATATGTTTTTATTTCCCTTAACTAGACACCGCTGATGGAGTTTCCCAGGAGCTGTTCTCCGCGGGTCTTGTCAATGGGCATGATGTGGTTACCGGTATTTACTTTTCTTGCGCACCACCCCCCTTTTTTTGTTGTTTTTTAATTGCATTTGTTTGCTCTTCCCTGCATCTGACATTTGTGTTGTGTGACGCTTTGTGTATTCCCAGTCGCTGCTAACCTTCAAAAGATTGTCGATGACCCAGCTACCTACAAAGTGTTGACCTTTAAGCTGGTGAGTTTGCGATGATTGATGGACGATAACCCCACTGCGGGGGATCTGTGGGGGGGGGGGCTATAAACAGGTTGTTGATTAAAAATGCAAAGAGGGCGTGTGACTGCGGTGATATGTGCAAAGTGACATTTAAAAAAAAAAAAAAAAAAGCTTAAACATGACTTGTGAACACATCCATCACTTGGTAACTTTTCATCTTGTCGGGCTTATGCTCCCTTTTATGGCCAAGACCAAGAAAATGTTTTTGTCAAGCTCTACCGCATGCAACTTTTTAACTGGGGTTTGCTAATTAGCGGAGCTTTGCAAAAGCCTCCACACTGTTTACGCTCTTCCCCCGGTTTGTTCGTCAGCGGGCACAGCAGGGCAGAGGGTGTTCAAAGACTCATTTCAAACTGCAAATGAAGCCCTTTTAAAGTCGTCTTCTCTCTAATGGTCCGTTAAAGATCGTTTAATGATACTTTTTTTTTTTTTTTTTTTTTTTTGCAGCTGATAATATGACTGGCTTTTACACGCGCGTAAATAATGTATGACAGTATAAATGTGGGTAAACAACATGTGACCCTCTCGTCTCTGTGGTCCGCACGGACGAATATGAAATCTGAGATTGTTAAGAGTTGCTGTCTAAATTATGGCAATACTTGCAGAAAAAAAAAAGTTTTAAAAAGGCTCATCAGGGACATTTGGCTCCATGGATCTGACTGGCGTCCACCCTCACTGTTTTGTTTTTTGTTTTTTTCTTTGTCTTTTTTCCTCACCTTGCAGGCCTCGTGCTGTGACGACACGGAACTCCCGGACGAGGTGAAGCTGATCGGCTTTGCGCAGCTGAGTCTGAGCTGATGCTCTCTTCGTGCCTCCAGCAGGTGAGACGGGGGACCCACACGGTCAGGGTAGACAGGCTGAGGAACAAAGAGCGCCACTTCCAGCAAACATCCTCCCTCCAACAACCCCACCCACCCCTACCCCCCAAGCACCAAACGTCCCTGCGTCCCTCCACCCAGCACACGACCAGGGATCAGGATGAAGCCCAGGAAACCTACTCAGGATGTGAAAGATGATGTGAGATGTAGCTTTGAATGTTTTATTTATTTTCTTTGTTTTTTTTTGGTTTTTTTTTTTTACATCACGTTACCTCTTGCGTTCCTCAAAGCTCTTATTTATTGAAAATCCCACCCCCGCCCCCATCCCCACTTCTGCCAAAAAACAATTTTTTTTTGTGACCGGCATTTCAAAAGCTCAACGACTGTGCTTCACCAGGTTTCTTCTCTCAAGCACATTTTCAAAATAACACGATGAATGTCTTTCATAAAAAGACGACGGGATTGTATTTTATGAATGAGGATTCGGGCCACGGTGAAAAGAATTGCGAGAATAAAGTTGATTGAATGAAGAGGGGGGGAAAAAAGGGTGAAAGTGAATGTCAAATTGCCTGCAGGAATGTCAACCATTCAATAGCGTGTGGAGATATTTAGTCTTAAAAGTTTACCACTCAATTCTCACAATGACGACTTTTCCTGCGGAATACACTGGTTAACAAACTTTTAGGTGTTTTTTCAAGAAGAAATGCAACTTAACTTTTGGAGATGTTTTTTTTCTGTCCTTTTTTTCTAGCACGTCAGGTTTTCAGTAATAATACAGATAATGAGAGAGAGAGAGAGAGAGAGAGAGAATTTTCATGAATCAGGTTTTGCAACAAGTTCTCTAAATTCCAACCCATGGTACAACCAGACCTGACAAAAACTGAATAGCTCAAAAACCTGATGTGCCAGAGCTGTTTCTGATTTAAACTTTGTTTTTGACTAGTGTTGACATCATTTTATCCCCAAAAATATGAATACCTCTTCCTATAATCTGAATATTTCATTACTCTACAATTATGCCTTTTTTTGTTGGTTTTTTTTTTGTTTGGTTGTTTTGTTTTTTTTTTGCTTGAAACATTCATTTTTGTGAATTTCTCTCATTTTACAAAGTGACACCACGTTTGTCGCAATATTTGAACTCCGATGAAAACCTAACAGCGCTACTACCCGTCTTTATATTCGGAATTAATTTTCAGTGTGGCCTCAATAATCCTTCCTAGTAGTCCTCACATGGACCACAAGGGTTGAGTGTCCAGGCGAGGGGGGAAAAAAAAAAACAAAAAATAACCCCAGACCCAGAAGCTACTGAGTTTGATTTGCTGCTCCTGTCACGACAGTGTTATTAATGCTCCAAAACGCTCAAGGTGCCTTGTTCATTTTCATGTGCCTATGACAGTATCGTCAAAAGGAGACCGCGCATACGAGAGAGCATCGTCTGCCCCATTTCCATTTCACACCCGCGTTATTTCACTGAGCGAAGCATCTTAACGTTAATGCACTTTTAGGCCGAGTTGCGTCTGCACCCGACAAGCAGACGCCGCCGCCTTTTTGGAGACAAGTTAAGTTGTGATCTTTGTCATTTTTTTTCAACCCCCTCCACAACTGCAGCTGTGTTGATGAGATGTGATCGGCTCGGGTTTATCTACTTTCACAGACTCTCTTTTCATTTCATTGCTTTGACCCGCTGCACAACAATACTTAAAACTCCCCCAAACTTGGAGGGGGGGGGGGGCGAAAAAAAAAAGCTGAAATGTACTGCGTGTGCACAAGATGATTAATGGCAACAATATGGAAATGACAATGAAACCATCTCGTGTGCTCAATGTGCAATCGCTCAAATATTTTTACGTGTTGTGTTAAAAAAAAAATCCTACCTAATAACCAAATTTTGTTCAATAATTTTCTTTTTCTGTACAGTATCTGTAGCTATGTCAACATATTTCACCTGTTCATGACCTGTAACCTGTTGCTTGGTGACAAGGAGCAACCAATAAATTGCTATTTAAAACATGTTGGGATTGACTTGATTACATTTTGTTTTTGGGTTAGTGGACTTTATTCATTTTCAAGACCAATTTTTCCAATTTGCCAAGTCGCTAGCAGAACTAAATATATTTGTCATCCAAAATTCTTATATTTTCACAGCATTGGGACCACTTGCACACTCCCAGTAGAATCACTCACCTTTCCTTCAAAATTGAGCAATATCATCTTTATGAAAAAAAAAAAACAAAACATTTTTATACCGATCTTAGAATCTCATGACTGTGTGAAAGTGGGCACTACTGATGGGATTTTCTGCTCTTTTCACTGAGCCGGTTCATTTGAATCGGCTCAGTGAAAAGAGCCGGCTCTTTTTGGCTCTCAAACGGCTCTTTCAACTTTCGCTTTTCTTTTAAATATTTATGACAAATTTAGCATACATTTTGATAAATGACTTGGTGAACTAAATATTGCACTCTACTGACTGCAAATAGCAACAATTATCAAGCAAAGAAATGTTTTTTTTACTTATTTTATTGAACATTAAAAAGGCTCCAAACAATAAACGAGCAACAAAATTAAACTTCAACCAACAACAATCAAACGTGCTGCATCATAACAAAAATATTGAGGATTAACTGCCAACAGCAGCAGTGAACAAAACAAACATAAACTACTCCTTGCTTTGTTTTAAATTTGCACTCAACAAAACTAAATACTCCAACTTGGAACACTTCAATTTGTCCAGTCTTTGAGAACACCCTCTCTGATTGCTACAATGCACAATCTACTCTCCATTACTTTGATCAAACAGGTGTAGACGGAAGCTCGGTATTTCCGCCAGCTCAGTGGATCAGCTGCCCTTGAAATCTGTGGTTCTTCAAGATATGCCCTAATTTAGTGTTTTGTGTTTTTGCACGCTTGGCTAATACTGTAAATTAGATTCAGATTGCTTGCCAAACGCCTTTGTGGCTTCCCGGACAGTAGGGGGCGATATGAAATAAAGACATCCAATTCACCAAGAAGAAGAATGAGTACAAGCACAAGAACGGTACCACATCCGGTTCAATGAGCAAGTTTTTCCGCTGTCCACAAGTCCTGTTCTCAGTGAGTAAGTTGAACATTTTAAACTGACTTCTTAGTTCTTAGCAGCCGCCACACTCGGAGGACATGCGGAAGGGACCCCACCTGCATTTGGACACGTGTGAGTACTGAGCTGTGTGGTGTGCTTCAATCAGCTGATGTCTGATGTCACGTTGCACCACAAGGTGGAGGTGAGTGCGCCCGCCTGTCTGTCTGTCACTCAACTTAAACTTCTGCTTTGTGTACTGCACAACAGTATCAACTCCACATAGACAACCCGAGCATCATATATATATATATATAATATATACATACATATGACGAACTTGGCCCACTTCAAAAAACTTGACCAGAAGAGTGTGATCATGTTGTTGTGGAGTACATGGCAGTTAGTTTTTGTCTCAGTGAGAGAAGTCGGACGTGCTCATGTCCCCCTTGGTGTGTCATGAGATGTCAGTGACATCACGCATGAGCTGGTCAAGCACATGCTCCCATCTCAGGCCTGTCGTCAGTGTTTGTGTGTGTGCAACTTGAACTGGCCCACACAAAGAATGACTGGTCAAATGCTTTCACATTGTCATGTTTGCTTTTCTGTCCAATAAATTGTTCAACTTGAATCTGAGTCTTTGCCTTTCATGACTAAATCCATCCTCAACTCACTCGAAGCCTTTTCTCGAAAGTCCAGGAATCGAGCTTTTGGGTCATGTGAAATCGACGGGAACAGTGAAAAGACTGTCCGATGTGACCCAAGTACAAGTCTGAGCTCAAGACTCAAGTGGGACTTAGAAGTCTTTGCCTTTCACCCGCCCCAAACCACACCCAATTTGACATCCTCCAATCGTGGTGAGATTCTCATTTGCATAACCCTAACCCTAATTTACATAAACCCGCCCACTTTTCCAAATTCCGACCAATCAGATTACTCCCGATTTGCAAAACCACGCCCCAAAAGACCACCAATCAGATAACACCTAATTTGCATAACCACCCCCTTTCCACCAATCACAGCATGTTATTATCATGCTCCACCCACTTTCACAGCTATCAGCGAATCATCAGCCATCATTCCAGTGAGGCCACGCCCACTTTCCTGGATTTTTCTGCCTGGAAAAAAAAAATTTGGGGAAAAAAAATTGAAAAAAATTCAGAAAAAAGTTTAGAAAAAAAACAAAATAATTTTGTTTAATTTTTTTTTTTAAAGTTGGATTGTGGTGATGTGTTTAAAAATGAAGTTGAGTTGAAGTATTCTTTGTAATCAAGCTTTATTTATTTTGCAGAGTAGACAATCACAAAAGCAGAGGAAAAAGTTGCAAGTTGGATGGCAGTCTGCTTGTTGCTGGGCGGCGAAGTGGTCAGCTCTTGAGAAGAACGTGGGACAGGTGTGTTGACCTGAGAGGAAAGGCATCCGTGAGTTACACGTAAGTCAATTTCTTGTGCAGACAAAGATGTGTTGGGCATGAAACTTACCAGGGAGATAGACTGTTGGGTTTTTCGAGAGCAGGAAGCCGATCATGTTTACTCCTGCCTGGGGGAGAAAAAAAAAGTAAAAAAAAAGTCATGATGGTGCATTGAACGAGTGTAAATGTCTCCTACTTTTCAGGCTGGCCCAAAGTTTGACTTCAGCACCTTGCCAATAACAGGAAGAAGAGCAAAAACTGTTGCCTGCAGGTCTGTGCTCGTAGGTGGACTCTGGTGGTGAGCAGGTGACTCCCTCTTGTGGCACGGAGGACCCAAGAACAATCTTCCTTCAACTCTGAAAAATGAAATGAGGCTTGTTGTGTTGGGTCTTTCTCAGTGACAGACTGAGGCTGCTGTTGTCTTCTTCTCTGATCAAAACAATGTTGTCTTTTCCTCTGATCAAAACATTGTCTCCACCGAGCGGATATTCCACGATATTTACCCTATTAAAAAAATTCATTTCATGTCTTTTGTGCATTTCTTCACTCTTCAATTATCCTGCGGGCCTGATCAAACCTCCTTGCGG